TTTTTAATAGAGACGGGATCTTGCTCTTGCTCAGGCTGGTCTCAGATTCCTGAGCTCAAGCGATCCTCCCCCCTCAGCCTGCCTGAGTGCTGGGATTACAGGCGTGAGCCACCGCACCCGGCCAGCAGGACATTCTTACACATCACACACTTCTAGCAGATAACAAACCTGTGCAGTGTGGGAGGCCTGCCACTCAGATGCCACCGTTCACTAAACCTGTGACAGGAGTGGCATCTCCAGCCCTGCATTCTCACAAACAGCCACGGCCAGGGCAAAGTACAGTCAGAACCTACTAATACCCATTAACTCATTAATGCAACCACACAAACATGAACTGCTAAAAAAAAACCCAGGCTCCGGCAGGACAAATATTCCTTTTGCCTACTCTTAGTAGGTATTAGCCAGATTCTCAGTCTAGGCACTGGAGTCTTCCCGACTCTGCTCCCTAGGGTTCCCATGAAATCTGCTGAGAGATTTGCTTCATCAGGAGAGAGCAGTGTATAGGATACAGTTTGGAATGTGCAAGGCGCCTTAAAAATAGTTCTCAATGAGAAGGAGCTAAGCATGGACACTGGTCAGATTTCACGTGCACCAGGCCTGGCCCAGAGGACTGCGTTTCTGGGTCAGAAATCTCAGGGCTCTCCTCCTTAGCCCTTCCTCTTACCCTTTCATCAAAGGAGCACAAAGCACTTGCCATCCCTCGCGCTGCAGCCGCGAAATACCAGCCACATAAGATCATGCGGGGTCTTATGCCAGGTATTTGTACACGTGTTGCTCTCATATACCACTTTTGAAAGAAGTGGTAGCAAAACTTGTCAGGACAAAAATGGAACTCACCAGAAGATGAAGTCATGGGAATGGAGGTCATTGCTAGACATTATAGTGACTGCAGTGAAAAGCATTCTTTTGTTTGTTTATTGAGATAGTGAAATAATCTTCTGAAGTGTGGAAGGTAATTTATAACCCCCTTTTTCTGGAGATGTTCAGGAAATTAGCAGTGTAAATCGGTGTGGGACACGGCCTCAGAACACTGACATGGGGGAGGGTGGTTGTGATGTCAAGACTAATGTCTCAGCAGCCTCCGAAACCTGTGAGGAGGATATTTGTTTAAATAAGATGCATTTGTTTGGTGTATAGCCAGAATCTTAGGTAAGTGAGCAAAGGATGGTTTTTAGAATCAAAGCTTTGGGGATTGGGTGATAAAGGGAAGTCTTTGTTTTTCTAGAGGAAATTCTATGTGTCATGTGAAAACTTTCTACAAATGTATGTGATTGTGTGTA